CATTGAACACTGCACACCGCAGTTCGGTCCACTGCACAGCAGAATATATTGTCGTGTTTCCTTTAAAAATTGAATGTACTGCTACTGCTGGTGGTGGTGCTGTTGCTGTTGTTTGTGTTGCTACCGCTTTCAATGGAATTTCTTATCGAAGTTGAGTTTATATGTGTGTTTTGGTGCTCATTCAAGCAGCATGTTTGGACACTATTATTTATTCCCAACATTTTCATTCGCCACGGAGAAAAGTATCAAGCACTATCACATTCATAAATATATTCAAGTTTGTGCCACACACTCAGTCCCTCTTTTTCTCGCTCCCTGTCTTTTTTTCGGCACTCAGGATATAAATTTGGTTTGGGATTGAATTTTTTATTGTTGCTCTGCTGCACATTATATTAGTTGTTTTTTTTTTTTAAATGTTTATTCCAACGTTTTTTTTCCCAAGCACTGGATACACAATTGCTATGGAGTATAATTTAAATAAATATAGACGAGAGGACAAACGGTCCGGCTTTGCTTTTATATATGACACCAATGAAGACTTAACAACATCCAAAAAGGCATAATAAACACTCAAACGTCCACAGATGAATCATGAAAACAGAAACGGCGACAAAAACTACCCCAAAACTCGTATAATACACTAATATACACCATTTTGACTGACCTCCAGCTATTCTGCCTATTTCGTTTTAATTTCAACCGCATACAACATACCAAAAATGAGAAGACCAACACAACTATTCATACACATACACTCACCCTCCCCCACTCTGAAAATGGGTTAAAGTTTCATATTTCCATGCAATTTCATGATTCATTTTCAAAAGGCAAATGGTCTGATTTGTTTTTATTCATTCGGTGCTGCTGTTGACATTAAGTTTTTGTTGACAATTTCGGGAAAGAGGAATGGGATGGGTGGATGCAATCTTTCGTTTTTTCTCCTATTCTCGCTTCTCAATGGGGGTCCGGAGTAATAAGAAATTTTATTAGAATCATACATTTATGTTTTGTGCATACAAAATCAAGTGACCGAAGGTGTGCTCGTAGAAGAGACAGATATTTGTTATGCTCACATTTCGACGCATCCACCTGTGTGAGGTTGGGCAAAAGAAAAAGTACTCAACTGTCGTGCCATATATATATCAAATTTCCGAAAATTGAGTTAGGAACACCTCCGGAACACAACGGAAAATTATATAATTTATTTATTTAGTTTGCGAATGCAAAGATCCCCTTTTTTATATCACATTTATTCGATATGCGTATATCTGCGAGAAAAGTGTGCAACTATATCGTTTGCTCCGTTACATTACGCAATTCGTGTGCACTCGATTTAAATGGTTTGCAATTTATGGATCATCTATTGGGTCTGGGAATTAATCGTGTCGATTTTTCAAAAGATGGCGTAACTTTGCATGGTTGTATCGGGCAATACTTTTTTCTTTTTCACATGAGTGGTCTAGTGTCAAACTACAAAAATCATCATCTATCATTTCATCGAAGTTTGGATAAACATTTTTTTTGCGCCTTAAATATGTCAAATTTTGTACCGAAAAAGCAACATTTCCCGCAAGCATTAATTTTTTGCTTTCATTTGAAGAAAACTGCGGCTGAAGCGCATCGAATGTTGGTGGAAGCCTATGGTGAGCATGCTCCATCGGAACGTACATGTGAACGGTGGTTTTCACGGTTCAAAAGTGGTGATTTTAGCACGGAAGACAAGGAACGTCCCGGCCAGCCAAAAAAGTTTGAAGATGCGGAATTGGAGGCATTGCTCGACGAAGATTCGAGTCAAACTCAAGATGAGCTTGCCAGAGCATTGAATGTTGACCGAAGCACTGTTGGATATCGTTTAAGGGCCCTTGGTTTCATTCGCAAGTTGTCAAATTGGGTACCACATGAATTGACGCCAGCGCAAGCTGAAAGGCGTTTAGTGACTTGCGAAATGCTGCTCGCAAGGCACAAAAAAAGAGGTTTTCTGTATCGAATTGTCACTGGTGACGAAAAATGGATTCATTACGATAACCCCAAGCGCAAAGCATCGTATGTTAAGCCCGGCCAACCAGCAACATCACAGCCAAAACAAGAAATTCACGGCGACAAGGTAATGCTGTCTATTTGGTGGGATGAGGAGGGAGTGGTGTATTATGAGCTGCTGAGAAGTGGTCAAACCATCGATGGGCCTTTCTACCGACAACAATTGATACGTTTGAAACAAGCAATCAAAGAAAAACGCACGAAATGGGAGACCAGAAAAGAGACATTGATTTTCCTACATGACAATGCTCGGCCACACATTGAGAAATCGGTCAAAAACTACTTGGAAAATAGCGGATGGGAAGTTTTGGCTCACGCCCCGTATAGCCCAGACCTGGCTCCTTCCGACTACCATTTGTTTCGATCGATGCAAAACCATATGGACGGAGAGCGGTTCTCTTCAGTTGAAGAAATCCAAAATTGGCTCGATGCATTTATAGCCTCAAAAGATGAGGAATTTTTTAAGGCAGGCATCCGTCAATTGCCCACATTGTGGCAGAAGGTCATCGCTTCCGATGGACAATATTTTGATTGAAATGTAATTTCATTTTGGTATTCAAATAAATGTTTGAAAATTTAAAAAAATCGACAAAACTAATTCCCAGACCCAATAAATGGACAATTATTTGCATTGAATTTCTTTCACATGCTGGTGTGCATTTATCCAGACGCTTGTCAACCGATTTAAGGTGTAACACTGATAGCTCGACGAAAGTTTTGTTTATTATACAGCATGTTGCTGTCACATACAAACACCGCTGTCGTGTTGTCTGTCACATTGAAATTCTTTTGGTTGCAACTTTCACAGGACTATTATCCAGCACACATTCCACACAGAACAAAGGAGGGGAAACTACTATTCTGTCATGCGCAATGCAGAAAACACACTCTCCTTAATCTTGCAGTGAGTTGTTGTTGTTTTTTTTTCGTGTGTGGATTGTTACATCAACTGTTTCATGCCGCGTGCATTTTGAACGCTCAACATTACGAAATGTTCAGTGTACACTGTACACTGTGGATTTTTGGTTCGTTCTTAAATTAGCAAAAATCACTTTTGTCCTCGCGTCGACGGAGTTTTTGCTGTGTTACAAGTCAATCGGTTGTGCTCCACAATTCACGCGCCATATACCCAGCCACGACCGACATGTATGCGAACGTATTGTGTTGTTGATTCAGTGCATTCAAACTGTGGCGCATTTCCAAATGAAATACACGGATTTCAGGGTGAGTAGTGACACCGAGTATCAAGTTACAAATTCGAAAATTGCTCCGAAATGACTGGCATTGCGTTCTTGAAGGTGCTCGCGTTGCTATCAAGGGCAATGAGCTCAACTCGTAAAGGAAAATTGAGTTGGGGTTTTTACATTTCGTAGCGTAGATTTTCATAAGACTTCATTCGAGAATTTCGAGTTGAGATTACCTCAGAGAATAAGTTTGCGACATGATAAAGTTTAGACTTGTGAAACAAAAGCAAAAGTTCTTGGGAGAAAAATCAACAATTAGAATAAAAAGAACGTCGTCGAGAAGGAGTTCAAACGTTTATGGGGATTTTCGAAGGAAGATCTTTTCATTTCAAGTATTTCGCATGTCATGCTCGGTGTAAGGGGTAGTAAATGACTGCGGTTACATTCGGTAAATTTTGCCATTTACAAGCATTACCGGATTGAACTCGAAAACCTCACCAATTCGTGTACATTTCCCTCATCACCTGCGAAACTATTTGCTCATTTTTATATGTAGCGAGCTCCATTTCCACGAGCTCATTCGATTGCAGTTGAGAGTGCGTGAATGACAAGGACACTTCATTGTACTACCGGCGAAAGGGAAATTTGAGCAGAATGTACGACAGCTGCTAGACACAGCTATTTATGGTTTATTATGACGAAATCTGAAATTTTATGCACAATTCTCTTCGGAGAATACCGAAAGAGAGAGCGAGAGCGATCAACTCCACTGAGCCCGAGACCATTACAACAATTCCCATTAAAGCGTCTTTGTGCGTTGTTGGTATACCGTGTACAAGTCGAACATGCATCAGATATGAAATTGTCGCCCGTTTGCTTTCGCCCTTTGTGTGTATGAGTGTATGAGTGTATTAGTCACAGTTTGTGTTCCGGTTGCTTTGTTCTATGCATGGAATGAAACAATTGTTTCGTAATAGTTGAAATAACAAAAGAGTCGACCTTTTGCCAATGAACGTCAAAAGTGGTTGCAAAGTTTGGCGTGTCCAAAAGCGCCCTTCGAAAATGAAAAATTACCCAGATTTTATGAATATCTACTGATATTTTAAAGAACACGCAAGCAAAGGTGTATTTTGGTGAATGCGGTATGGAAAAAGACGTTGGTAAATCAAGAAGCTATAAAAATAAAATCGAATTCGGATTGCGAGTGCAATTAAAGGGCTATTTTGAAAAGTGAGCGAACGAGCGAGAGGGTGTGAGAGACGAGCGCATACAACACGAAAAACGACAAGACAAAAAGTACCATAAAATCATTTTCACTTGTACTGCTTTTTAAATAGCTTTAGTGCAACAATCAAAAGACCGTTATATGAATTATATAAAACCATGCGAATTGAGCTCAGCGGCAACAGAGTGGCAATAGAATGTTGATTGTCGTAAGGGGAAATTGCAGCACTCTCAACAAATCCAGTGCAGAAGAGAGCAAGCGAGCGTATGATTGAAGGAGAATTTCAATTCAAGCACTTCTCCTCGAATGGATGGGATGCATGGATACAGGCCATACGTGGCACGCGTTCTCGTGGTTCGTTTCGTTTCATTCACATTGTGAAAACAAAACATTTCACCATCCAAAAAGCAACCGTACGAACGACAACAAATAGACACTCTCACACGCGCTCGTTCACTCACTCACTCGCACCGAGACTCGAACAATCAAAAACGAATAAAAAGAAAAACAACACATAAACTTTATTTCTAGCGAGACTTTGGCATTTTCCTAGCAGTGTAGTATACGCTTCTGGATGGAACGGTAGTCAAAAATAAACGATCCAACGATACAGATTTCTTGTTTGAGTTTGTTTGTGAGAACGATTACGAAAAAAATACCGACCCGTTGTGTGAACAAGTCGCAGTCGATACAACAATAGGATCTTTTTTGGAACGTTGCATTTTCGGGTTTTCGTTTGAAGAATAAGGAGCAAGAAAACCAAACCACGATTAAACACGAGATGAAAAGAAAGGCAAATTTTACCTTTTCTGACAACGAACATTTTTAGTGCAGTCGCTTGGAATTTCGCTGCATCGGATTTTAGCAAAAATAAAATAAAAATAAAAACAGAATTGCTCTGATAGTAACAAGGAAAAAAATTCTCTTTTCAAAAACTGTGACACGGAATATTGTCAACGTCTGTTTGAAATAAGTTAAGTGTTTTATTGACATTTTATGCTGAATACTGAAAATCATTCGTACATTGTTTCCAGTTTTGGATTGATTTGTGAACGGAGGGAGAAACAGCGAAAGCACACACGGATTTTATATGCGTATGCATTGCACACGCTGAGTGTGAACTCTCTGTACCGAGTGAAAAATAAACATTTACTGAAAATAAAAGAAAAATGCAAAGCATGTAAAGTCAAGTCAAACAAGAAACGAATATGGAATCGACAGTGCGATGGTATCTTTAGTGTGTATCAGTTTGCAATTCAAATCGCTGATAAAACAGACAAATAGGAGCGAGAAGAAAGCCACATTATTACCAAAGGGGTGCATGTGAGTGAAATTGAACAAAAGAATACAAGAGGAAAAAAAGTTATTTATTATACGCGAATCACTGACAGAAAAAAAAGTGGGAGTGAACACAGAGAGACTGACTGTGAGAAAAACCGACAAACAAAAAGTTTTTAAAAGGAGTTTATGAAAAAGCAGGTACGCGCTGTGTGTTTGTTTACATAAAAAGGTGAAATAAAACTTAGTGCACAATTGAATGCCGCATAAAGACTATTGACGCACCGTGAGACAGAAAGAAAAGGGAAACGCACCGCAAAATCAACCGACTTAAAATACAAAAGTAAATATTTTTTTCCGCTCTTAAAAAGTGTTTGTTATTTGTCTTGAAAATAATTTGTAATTGTATCAAGCACCGAAAGCCATTTGGAAAATTGCAAAAATAATGGAAACGGGATGATTTTGGCTGACAAAGCATCTATTGTATTATTAGCATCGCGTGAATGGAATTTATCAAATATTCGGAAGTGAGTGAACGAATTTGGTTGGGCAACAGATAGGATGAGAGTGAGAGAGACAGAGAGGAAAAAGGGAAAAAAGCCCGTTACCGCTTTTCTTTGTCTTCTTTTCAATCGAAAGCGAGTTCTTTATGTTGCTCTACTTTCGCGCTTTGGTTTTGCTCCTGAAAAATGTATTACATCATTTATTCAACAGTTCTTTTTTTACTTTGTCCATTGAGTGTATGCAATATGAGAGATACATTTACAATTGCGCTGTAATTTTTAAGTCATTTTCAATCTGGAAACTAATTATCATACACGATGACATCAGAGTTCATTAGTGGGCTTGGTCGCTCCGAATTACTGCCATTTCAAGTTTAATACATTTTTGTTATTCTGATGAAATCATTGGGCTAATTTTCACCGTGTCTCATTTTTTTAGTCTCAGTCTCTTACTGTTCGCATTGTTGTTGCCGCGACGAAATGTTTCAAATGAATAAAATAAAATTATCGCAGTTCGCAGTCATTGAAGTGGTACGAAGCGACGAATGGATGAAAACAAATTTCAAACAACAACAACAACAACAACAAAAACCAAAGCGAAACAAACAAAAAATAAACGAGATAACATTCAGATGTATCAAATGGATAAAAAAAAAGAACTAAGTGGAATAAATTAAAAACTGGTATAAAAAAGCGTGAGAGAGAGAGAGAGAGAACGGGAGCGGGTGGAAGAAAAAAGAGAGTGTAGAGAAAAACAAGAGTTTTTCCTCGGCTTTGCCCATGATAATCATGCAATAAGGCTTGAGAATGAATGAATGAATAAAAAAACGGTGCAGCAAGTACTGTAAGATAGGTTAAATATATTCCGATTCAAGCAAAACCCAACCGACAAAAGTTGTATTTAATACACAAAAAAAAGAACTAGCGAATGATAAAAAGGAGTGAAATGTATATGTAAATGAACACAGCAAACCAATATCTCGAGAATCCGAATCGAAAAAGAAAAACTAAGGGAAAACATTCATTCCTTTTCATACTGCTATCGCGTTGCTGCACAACTTTTTTTCCTTTGTGTGTGTATGTATATGTTTGTGCTTTCTGTGGTCTCTCTCTTGTTCACTTTTCCGATTGCGAGTATGCAAAAAAACGAGAAACTTTTACGACTAAATTATGATTTACGTAAATAGTTAGTGTACTCAATTTTTTTCTCTTTCTCATTCGGGTTTGTGTGTATGTGTCTTATTTTTTCATTTAAATATTAGTTTGCTCCATTAAAATCATCCCGACCATAGTTTTGGTCGTTGGCTCTGCATAAAGTTACTTACACAGATACACATACATTTATAATCCAAAACAATACAGCCAAACGTTCAACGGGTTGCATTGAATAAAGTAACCAAGCTTGGGAATTACCGTTGTTGTTATGCCCCACACTCACACACGCGCGCGCCCGCTCGCTCATTCGCCTCACGAACTCCACTTTTCTGTAACATTGTTTCAGGCATAATAGAAATTACGAGCGAATAGTAGCGAGAAAACTATTTTACACTCAGATAAACGCTCATTCATTTCAAACTATTCAGCCACGCCATTTAGTACGTATGCCATCGAAATGGACCAAGAACTAATCAAAATTGCGTATGCCATCGTATATTGTGTATTATATGGGCTGCGAGCGCATACACAATTCGATGATATGTTAATGTAGCCATGGTTGAATGGCATTTTATATGCAGCATATGTGTTTCCATTCGCAAGCGTATGCGATCGAAGCATCGGTTTTATAGCTATTATATCCGTGATCGTTGCCTTTTCCCATCATCATCATCATCATCGTCGTCGTCGTCGTCGTTGTCGTAGCCATCGGTTGTCCTGCATGCACAACATTAAACACACCAGCAAACGCATAGTCGGGCACTGGAAACTTTAACCATATATTAAACAACAGGAGCTTATTTGTCGGCAGCATGAAGCTGCTAAATGTTTGAAATTTCGGTGCTTGCGAAAGTCATGCGCCATTTTTTAATCGTATCTTTTGCCATTCGATGGGCAGATTATAAATCCTTGTATCTTGACTTCGGTGGCCATCGTTACGGAATAGTTATTTCGTTGTGTAAAAAGCAAAAGTTATTTCGACTTTATTAGAGAGAGACTCACACTACATGCACAGACGCATTGAATTTGAACGAGAGAAAGTGTGAGCCTTTGTGTTTCAAATTCTTTTTGCAGTTTTCCAATTCGTATTCGGCTTTCGCACAGCGTAACTTTCCTCCGAATGCGTATTCGGCGAGAAACACTTTTGTTTCGAATTTTTTTTCCATTTGTTTGTTTTATTTTTCAATATTTGATTCTGGTTGTGTGTTTGTGTTTTTCTCTCTCTTCGACGTTTATTCGATTCTCATACACAACGAATAAAATAAAGAGCTTTGCTTCAACTCCACCATTTGGAAAGGCAGCAACAATATGGAATGTTTTCCGATATGTTTTCTGAGAGTTTTGAGAATTTTAAGTTTGTGCTTTCGGTTCTTTTTTTCTCTCTATTTGTTTTTCCCTATTTCTTCGATAAGTTGTTCGAGTGTGTGCTCAAGCGATTTTCTTTAAAACAAATACATCAACGATAACGACAATATCCACATTCACACACACACACAAAGCAAGATAGAGAGCAAAGAAGCACACATCCACCAGCATCGAGATGGGTCGGCGGTATGGACATGGGGTAAAAGAGAAAAGTGGCTCAGCACAAAGTGGAAGTGCTAAAGTAACAGAGAAAACGGCATTGTGCCAGGCAACACACAGCGTAAAATATTATTCTCTCAATACACACTTTCGTTTTGGGATTGTATTGAATGGGATTGTATGTCGTATTCCGTTTTGTAAGTAAGGTGGTGTGCAATCGGTCCTTTGTCAACTTTGTTTTGCACAACGAACGAATGAGCGGGCAAGCAAGACATAGTGCAAGAGAAAGAATGAGAGTCGATTTACGTGCTTTCACATTCTTAAAGTAGCGCGAAAGATATAAAGTGTGCTGTAGGCCCGTTTCGTATGATATTCATTTGTCGTTTTCAAGCCACGCCGAATGAGCACAAGACGATACAGAAAGAAAGAAAGAAAACAGCAGCGGATACGATGAAGAGAAGAAAAAAATTTACTACGAGGGAGAAACGGCGCGAATGAGATTGTGACTGAACTGAGCGATTATCGTTTAAACTTTTTTGAAGGATACAATCTCGGTGGCCCACACGTGAAAAGAAAACATAACGCAGTGGAATGTCTTCACTAGATGCGACTGGAAGGACGCGAAGGCGAAAGCGACGTAGACGAGAGGGAGAGGAGAGAGAGGAGAGAGAGGGAGAGAGAGGGAGAGAGAGAGAGAGAGAGTGAGAAAGAAAAAACAAACGAGAAGACGGTAAAATGAAGTAGTAACAGCATTTACACAAGATTTGTGGCCAACAGAATGAAAGTAACGGGAATAAAAACAGAAACAAAACATAGAAAAGGAAAACCAAGAAAAATTGTGCCACCACGACAATATAAGCCGAGGTACGAAGGCAAATAAAATCACGAGAAAAACGACAAGGAGAAAAAAAAATAACATCAATGTCGGCCAACCATCACACCATCCTTATACAATGCTCACGCAAAAGAGAAGATGAAGAGAAAAAAAAAAACATAACAACCCAACCAAGCAGTGCGGAGAAAGAGAAGGGCAGAAAAAAAAAAATGTTTAACAAACACACACCACAATAAATACAAGTAAATTATGTGAGACGCGCGGCGATAATAATCGTGATGTTGATGTTATAATGTGTTCGCTTGGCTGGTTAGACTGACTGACATGCTCCACTCTCTCGTTGTTTTTCTGTTCGAAGAGTGAAAATCGAGAGTACGAGGTAGGATATTTGGTGCGCCGCCGGTGTGTATTGTGCTCTCTGCCACTGTGGCAATCGCTCGGAATGCTAAATGCTACCAACTTAGATGATGCCTTTGTGAACTTATTTTCATTTTGTTCAAGGTACAAGCACACACACTCACTCACTCACTCACTTTTTTTCGTCGATTCTCTTTGTTTTTTGTTTTCTTTCATATATTTTTTGTGTTGCGCTCCGTTGTCCTTATCGTCAATGAACTGTCATTGTCGCCAGTGTTTCCCTTTTGTTTTTCGTACATGCCATTGTATGTTCGTCCGTTCGTTCGTTTCGTTCATTTTCTCTTTGGATTTGGTCGTTGTTATTGTTGTTGTTTTTTTCTTGTTCGTTATTTTTCATTTATCGAGGGAATTGAAAAACAATGGCACACACGAACGCAATGTAGTGTCCTCTTCAAATCGTTTAATAATAAATAATAAGAGCGCATAAGAAACAAAAACATCGCGTTAAGGCCATAAGAAATGGCAGTCAGTGGAACAACACGAACAAAAGCAATCACTTTAGCAATCAACATACGTTAAAGTTAGCTACTGTTTCCTACACAAGGCAAAGAATGGAAGAGAAAAAAAATTATATTACGATAAAAACAACAGTGTGAACAGAGCAACAGCAAAAGAAAAAGAAGAAGGAGAAGAAAAAATTGGAACGTGAAAAAAGCGAAAGCTGAAAATAAAAGACGCACTTATAAATACATATCAAAAATATGTTACCAATTTTTTTTTCGAGTCGGTGTTTGTTCGTTTTGCTTTTGGCAGCGCGCCTTTTTCTAGCCGCTGGTTTTGTTCGTGAAAAAAAATGGTGCGCTCAAATGCGAATAATTGCAAAAGTCCATGCGACACATTCCAAACGTGCTAGAACGGTTCCCTTCTGAAATGTTGCTGCTTTCATTGGCAGCAATCATTTGGATTCGT